ACAAATATAATTACCGTCGCTCCGATAAATAAGTATGTGGTCTCACGATAAAAGGCCATTCCAGTTTCTCGAATGACAATTCTTTTACAGAAGTTCTAAGGTTTCCAAGTAATGGGAGGTTTCATGATTACATGTGAATCAAAAATATGATCTCACCTTTGCCATCATATGTGGTGCATGTGTAATGAAATATAGCGCGGCGGTGGGGTAGCCTAGTGGTTAAAGCGTTTGCTCGGCACGCCAAAGGCCCTGGATCGATTTCTCATATGGGAACAATGTCTCAAGATAAATTCTGGTGTCCCTAGCCGTGATATTGCTGGAATATAGCTAAAAGAGGCGTAAAACCACTTACTGAGATATAGCTTGAAGCGTTAGTGTACTAGTACATGGACACCTGGATGTCACTTGCACATTCCACAACACAACACATCACCATTTAATAATGATTCGTTAATCCGGAGGAGGGGGCCCGGGTGGCCCAGTCGTCTAAGGCGCCGGGATTCGCTGTGCAGAGTTGCGTCCCTTGGACATGCAAGAAACCTAGGATTGTGGGTTCGAATCCCGGTTCGCCCGGATTATGTTTCTAGGTTTGTCAGCACCATACCCGCGTTCGTGGGTTTCACCGAAGTGGTAAACGTCTGAGACCTGCATCACTTCGGGCTTTCCCCCCACATTAAGCTGACACGCCTTGGTATTACTGGAATAATGTTAAAAGCGGCGTTAAACCCAACTCACTCACTCACTAATCCGGAGCAAAAGTGTTACTCTTTTGATCGGCACCGTCGGATTTTCGAGGTTTCGCTGTATATTCTTTTTAGCCCGACCAATATTCAGTTTCTCCGGATATATAGAAAATCGGTTATAACGAACGAAACACTAAACCCTGGCAGCAATGTTCTTAATCTCGTTCAACCAGACATTCGACTTCTTTCAGGGGCATTAAGAAGTTGGATTACTAATTAAGGATAAGATATATGGATGGACAACTTCTTTATTACAATTAGGAGCGACGTTTTGGTGTAGGTTCTACCACCGTTATAAAGCTATATCATATTTATCAAGCTAATGTGTCAGAACCTACACCGAAACGTCGCTCCTAATTGTAATAAAGAAGTTGTTCATCCATATATCTCATCCTTACTCAGACATTCGACGCCATACACAGAACAAACATACGTTCTGTTGTGGTTCCCTCGAAAACAGCCACAGAACTATCTACTGTGTCGCGGATCGTCGTGGTCAACAACGACCACATCCTCCAGCCAACTGGGGCGGTCGGGTAGCCTAGTGGTTAAAGCGTTCGCTCGTCACGCCGAAGACCCGGGTTCGATTCCCGACATGGGTACAATGTGTGAAGCCCATTTCTGGTGTCCCCCGCCGTGATATTGCTGGAATATTGCTAAAAGCGGCGTAAAACCAAACTCACTCACTCACTCCTCCAGCCAACTGACAAGAACTGATCCAAGCGTGACGTCATCAGACGACTGGCCTTTTTCCTGTGCGCCGAAGATTTTTTGCGTGTCTTGTGACAGGGAGTTTGTCATCCGCGCTATTAATGTGACGTGTCATTGTACTTGAGCGATCTCAGATGTGTGTGCTTTTTGTCCGTTACGCTGAAAGGTTTATTTTGCTACACCACCTCATTTCGGGCATCTGTCATGCAAATATTGGATACTGTATGACTGTCATTTCACATATTGATTTCGTTGAGATTTTGATCTTTTTAATACATTTTCGTTTATCATCTATCTTTTGTGGTTTTTAAACTAGATTGCTTCTTTTGGTTGTCAGTTTGTATGAATGATACCACACTGTAAAAATATTCCCGTTATTTTTACGGTAGAATGACTGGCAGCTGGGTTGCCAAACATTTACCGTTAGTCCAACGGTATACCGTAGTATACAAACAGTACATTACCGTTCTTTTGACGGTGGTATCCGTAATTGTTAACGGTATAATAACTGTTGGGTTTTATACCCTTTTTGACCATCAAAATTTCATTTGACAGTTTAAATAAGGTCACTGCAATACAGTAGCAAAGCTGTGAAAGCTTGGTTCTTGCACCAACCTAAGTTTGAACCCCACAGGAGGGTTTATATACAGTTTACAATGTATCTTCAATGTTATCATAATCATAAAGTAAATAGCAAAAATTAAGCAATAACCATTTAACCATGATCATGCAACAATTGCATGCTTACAGAAATAATAAGCAGAAGCTTTACGAATTCATAGTCTGATTCAGCAAGCAATGTCCTAAAACAAAAACAAGAAACTAACTGAACAAAATGATAATCTTTAATGTCTCATATGATAATACATATGTTGTACAAGGTACAGAAATTAAAGGCTAGTCATTCTTCTTAACTACAAAACATTGTGCATATTGAAAATTATGCAACTTACATTTTTGCAGCTCTATTACAGTGTTAGTTGTATTTGTCTGATCCCCAAACCAATATTTTATGGCGGGTGAAACACAATCTGAACACACAATTTACTGCTGATAACAGACTTATCTTATACACTTTTCAGTTTGGGATACACACTTATTCATCTTTCTTATTTTAGAATAAAGCTGAAACCATCCACATAAAAAATATCCTAGCAAACCAATTCTTTCAGCAGAAATTAATAAACAACTCGGTAATAATTGACTGTATACACTGTAAGTCAGCTTCAAATACAAAAGATGAATGGTGGTGAAACTGTTCACAGATGAAAAAAAGTACAGCAAACTAACATCTGCTTTCATTAAAATGTAATTTACAACTGTCATGAACAAGCAACTCTTTACAAGAGGAGTGTACGCTGTTAGACACCTTCAAATACAAAAGAAAAGTAACATTTGGCTAATTCTAGAATGGTGGTGAAACTGTTCACAGATGAAAAAAGTACAGCAAACTGACATCTGCTTTCATTAAAATGTAATTCACAACTGTCATAGGAGTGTACGCTGTTAGACACCTTCAAATACAAAAGACAAGCAACATTTGGCTAATTCTAGAATGGTGGTGAAACTGTTCACAGATGAAAAAAGTACAGCAAACTGACATCTGCTTTCATTCAAATGTAATTTACAACTGTCATGAACAAGCAACTCTTTACAAGAGGAGTGTACGCTGTTAGACACCTTCAAATACAACAGAAAAGTAACATTTGGCTAATTCTAGAATGGTGGTGAAACTCTTCACAGATGAAAAAAAAAGTACAGCAAACTAACATCTGCTTTCGTTTGAAAGTAATTCACAACTGTCTTTAACAACTCTCTTTACAAGGGAAGTGTACTCTGTCAGAAAGCTTCAAATACAAAAGACAGAATGGTGGTGAAACTATTCACAGACAAAAAAACCCAAAGAACAGCAAACTAACATCTGCTTTCGTTTGAAAGTAATTCACAACTGTCTTTAACAACTCTCTTTACAAGGGAAGTGTACTCTGTCAGAAAGCTTCAAATACAAAAGACAGAATGGTGGTGAAACTATTCACAGACAAAAAAAACCCAAAGAACAGCAAACTAACATCTGCTTTCGTTTGAAAGTAATTCACAACTGTCTTTAACAACTCTCTTTACAAGGGAAGTGTACTCTGTCAGAAAGCTTCAAATACAAAAGACAGAATGGTGGTGAAACTATTCACAGACAAAAAAACCCAAAGAACAGCAAACTAACATCTGCTTTCGTTTGAAAGTAATTCACAACTGTCTTTAACAACTCTCTTTACAAGGGAAGTGTACTCTGTCAGAAAGCTTCAAATACAAAAGACAGAATGGTGGTGAAACTATTCACAGACAAAAAAAACCAAAGAACAGCAAACTAACATCTGCTTTCGTTTGAAAGTAATTCACAACTGTCTTTAACAACTCTCTTTACAAGGGAAGTGTACTCTGTCAGAAAGCTTCAAATACAAAAGACAGAATGGTGGTGAAACTATTCACAGACAAAAAAACCCAAAGAACAGCAAACTAACATCTGCTTTCGTTTGAAAGTAATTCACAACTGTCTTTAACAACTCTCTTTACAAGGGAAGTGTACTCTGTCAGAAAGCTTCAAATACAAAAGACAGAATGGTGGTGAAACTATTCACAGACAAAAAAACCCAAAGAACAGCAAACTAACATCTGCTTTCGTTTGAAAGTAATTCACAACTGTCTTTAACAACTCTCTTTACAAGGGAAGTGTACTCTGTCAGAAAGCTTCAAATACAAAAGACAGAATGGTGGTGAAACTATTCACAGACAAAAAAACCCAAAGAACAGCAAACTAACATCTGCTTTCGTTTGAAAGTAATTCACAACTGTCTTTAACAACTCTCTTTACAAGGGAAGTGTACTCTGTCAGAAAGCTTCAAATACAAAAGACAGAATGGTGGTGAAACTATTCACAGACAAAAAAACCCAAAGAACAGCAAACTAACATCTGCTTTCGTTTGAAAGTAATTCACAACTGTCTTTAACAACTCTCTTTACAAGGGAAGTGTACTCTGTCAGAAAGCTTCAAATACAAAAGACAGAATGGTGGTGAAACTATTCACAGACAAAAAAAACCAAAGAACAGCAAACTAACATCTGCTTTCGTTTGAAAGTAATTCACAACTGTCTTTAACAACTCTCTTTACAAGGGAAGTGTACTCTGTCAGAAAGCTTCAAATACAAAAGACAGAATGGTGGTGAAACTATTCACAGACAAAAAAACCCAAAGAACAGCAAACTAACATCTGCTTTCGTTTGAAAGTAATTCACAACTGTCTTTAACAACTCTCTTTACAAGGGAAGTGTACTCTGTCAGAAAGCTTCAAATACAAAAGACAGAATGGTGGTGAAACTATTCACAGACAAAAAAACCCAAAGAACAGCAAACTAACATCTGCTTTCGTTTGAAAGTAATTCACAACTGTCTTTAACAACTCTCTTTACAAGGGAAGTGTACTCTGTCAGAAAGCTTCAAATACAAAAGACAGAATGGTGGTGAAACTATTCACAGACAAAAACAACCAAAGAACAGCAAACTAACATCTGCTTTCGTTTGAAAGTAATTCACAACTGTCAGTAGCAAGTTAACAGCTAGGAATTAGTCCATTAGTCCATTCGAAACTGGATAGTTGGTGGATTAGTTTCAGCACCCTGGGGTTGACTGCTGAAGTCTTCTTCTTTTTGTTTGCCTTGGATCCCTTGTCGGGGTTTATTTCAAAGAAGCACCTGAAACAAATATTGCAGTTTTGCATTTTGTGTTCAGCTGTCCACATTTAGAAGTAACACTGCACTTTTGTATTTTGAGTTAAACTCTCTGCAGTTATTATCAAACACTTTGGATTTTTTATATTTATAAACTAGTTAATAACAGTGAATTTATTATTAACTAAATATAGGAGCGCGTAGAATAACTACATTAGTTTTTGAGAAAACTTGTCACCACTGAGAATTTGATGGATTGAAAGAAGGAAACATGGACAGAGGAAATATGTTCCTATAACAAAAATAGTACCAAGAGCACTGCAGCTGATCTGAATTACATATAATCTGATTCAGTTTGGGCAGTGTCAAATTAAAATGATGATAAAGGCTACACACATACTGCTATAAGGATATTCTGAAAATCAATAAACTTGTATCTCATATGGCCCCAATGACATTAATATGACCAACTTGGCAACCATGTGAAAACTGAATCTGGACACCATGAACAAATACAAAAAAAATTGGTTGCAGTCCACAGTGATTGTATAGTCATGATGAGAGCGAACCATTACAGTGTTTAATAGTTTTCTGTGGCAGCTGAGCCTGCTCCAAGTGTCAATCCTTTCCCAGTGTCATTCTAAATATTGTTCATATCCTGGTAAAGACTAAAACAAGGAATTTAAGAAAAAAGTTACTCTCAATTAATATTTGAGCATAAGATGAATATGAGGTGAGATAAATAATCTACTGACTTGACATTTAGCTTACCTCTGCATGAACTCAAGCGTTGCAACAGCACTTGCTGGATACTGAATGTTGAAAACATAATAAGACCCAAACAAAACAGCAAGGCTGGAGATGAAGCTGGTCATTCTTTTCACCAGAACTCTTCCGTCAACTAGAACCATAAACTGCTCAGCATTTAGGTATGAATCACCTGTGAACAAGAGTTGACAAGTTAATTTAGACTAAAAAAGTACTTTACTGTCCACCAATCACTGCAAGGAAAAACTTGGAAAAACAGCTCACCTAAGTTACATCTGGTTAAATTTGGGCAATGGCTAAGGCAAATGATTATAAAACTGAAAATATGTTAACAGTTTCGACATTGTAAATTTATAAATTGCAAGAAACTAAACTATCTTAAATGTGTCATATTCAGTTTGGCTGTCTTTGGAGAAGATGATATTAACATAACATTACTGGCGTGGTTTGAGTTACGAGGTCAAATCAAGGTCAAATTTCAAAATTTCACAAAACCAGTCTAATGTCTTGTTACTAGGTACAGTTACCAGCTACTCACAGACCAATTTTCAGCCCAATCATTGCAAAAAGATCTGACAAATGGCCCCAAGTGGCTTATCAATCTGGCCACCATGGCAATAATATTTAAAATCGATCAAAATCCCTTAAAAAAACATTGGTGTGTGCTGAGTTTCAGTGGACAGGAGAGGAGTATGATTTTGCTTTTTAAGATTTAAGTCACTGGTAATGCATTAGCTGATAATTTGGAGGTTTTACAGCACTGGCAGTTAAAAAAGCAATGATTTCACAACTTTACCAAGAAACACCATCCGTGGCCAGTTGATGCTGTTCTCCTCTTCAACCTCAGTCGCAGTCTTCGTAGCCTGTGGATTAAATAAATTTGTTAAAATGTTTATTACTTTGTGAAGTATATTTGCCAGGAATTTTGACTAAGTGCCCATGGCAGATTAAGTAGGAAACAACTGGGTTATGTTATATCAAAATTGGGATTTTAAGAATTCACCATTTTAAAACTTTTGAGGTAGATCTACTGTTTTCTTCAAACCTATATGGAGATTTTTAAGCTGCAAACTGGGGACTTTTAACGACATTTGCTGCAGACTTGGGGCCTGAAAAGGCATAGATAGATCTGTTTGCTTTAATGATTTAAAAGGCTAGTAAATGTATCAATATCAAGACCTGCACACAACAATGTCCTGTCCCAAGAACAGATAAATTACAATTGTTTCAGTGAAATGATTGAAGCAGGCCACTATTCATACACTAGCCAGATAAATATTCCTACTTTTTCCTAAATGGAGGTTCCCCTAAATCGTTAACTTACATCAACAACAAGAAAGAGACTCTCTTCTTTCTCACTGAAGAACTTCATTAGGCACAGAATCACCACAGGTAAGTAAGCCTTGACATTATCCTGCTCTGACTGTTCCTTTGCCTTGGCAAAGAGTTCATTTGCAGCTTCTCTGATTGCGCAACCATCGCTCTGAAAGTATCTGTTTAGTGTGCGCACTTTGCGGTCATATGCCTGTTCCAACATGGTTCTCGCATGAAAACCAATCAAGCTTTCAAAATGACATAGGAGTCCCCTTTGATCTCCCAAAAATGGCCAATCCTTTGTTAGAGTTTCATCCAAAACAGAGTAGTTAATACAATGTCTCTGTAAAGGAAACGTTTCCTTCATTAATGTTTCTATCCTGCTCCAATCATAATCCTTGGGGTCACATTTGTGTAGGTCTTGGAGTTTCTTCTTTTTATCCTCAAGATCAGGAAGTTGATCGTCATTCACAACAGGTTCCCAATTCACACATCCATAAGAATCGGTTGCCATTTTTCTCTTAGGTGGCACTTTAGAAACCTTGTCATCTTCTCCTTCACTGGAGGCAGATCTTCTCCTCAAGGTAAGAGCTGAGTCCTTTGGCCTGTTCAGGTTTTCATTTCTGGAAACTAGTTGTGCCTGAATGGAATCATACCCAGTGCCAATTATAAGGTTGTCAATTTTATCTTGAAGAGAAGATGGGTACTTTGACACCATACGTTGGGCTATTATACCAAACTGGCGCTTTGTAGCTTTGTGTGTCTTGGTCCGCACTCTATCAGTCACAGATCTCACTAGAGTGTATCTAAGGGGTTGTGGGAGCCGCTTCCCTTGCTCAAGTAGTGTCACTATGTCAGGCAGTTCCTCCCATGGCAACTGCAGAGTCATTGCCCAGTTTGGATTCTGATTACATGAGTCACGGAAAATATGGATAGGACGTGGAGTAATGACTGATCCCACAGATTCTGGGCTTGTAGGACAAGAACTCTGTGATGATGCTTGGCCACTTGTTGAAGCTGGTGAAGCATCTGTATGTACAATAAAAAAGGTTTGTTACTAATAATTGTCAAGAAAGAAAACCAATCTTGTTCTTGAACTTTTGTAGCTTCGTGAAACTATTTTATCCCCAAAGCACTGCTAATCGAATAGTTAAGGGCAAAGATATATTCTGTGCAGTCCCCTAAAAATATCCGTGGTCTTGTGGTAGAGCGTCCGCCCGGAGAGCGGAAGGTCCAGGGTTCGATCCCGGGCCGCGTCATACAAAAAGACGTTAAAAGATTGTACTTGTTGTTACCCTGTCTGGCGCTCGGCATTGAGGGGCTAAAACAAGGACTGGTCGGCTCGGAGTCAGTATACTGTGTCTGAGTGGGGTATTCATGTTAAACTGCGGCATGGTATCTCAGTGAGCTAGCACTATAAATCGGCATCAGTCCGGACTAGTACAAGCAGCCACACACACACATACACGTGCATGCACGTCGCTATATAAGTGCAATAATCTTGGACGCGACGTTAAACCCAATTTCACCTCACCTCACCTAAAAATATCACACAATATAATGCAATAACATTTCTTCAATTACTATTAGTGCTGGTTATCGCTCAGAATTTATAGATTGATAATCAGTGGTCTCAGATCGATTAATAATCACTTAATTATTATGCTTATACACATCAAAACTGCACATGATAACATGTGATTCAGTAAACAAACAAATCCATTAACCACTTCCTATCGAGTACCGTGTTGTAAATACTAAATGGAGAAAAAAATCTTCTAGTTGCTTTTTTCATGTTTTTTAGATGAAAAGTACATCAGGTAATATTTAATTTGATAATCGATTAGTCTGTACAGCAGTTGATAATCGTTTTGCATGCACAGATTGATCGATTGATTGCTCCAGCACTAATTACTATATCATGTTAGAAACAACTCCCCTGAACACACACGTATGCCCAGTTCAATCGGCTGGCCTTGGATTGTTAAAACTATAGACAATTATCATATTTGAAAAGTGGTCAAAGTAAAGTACATGTACCTGCACAGCATTCCTGCCTCAACAGCTTCCTGATCTGTACTGGTTTTAACACACCACTCAAGTCTTCATACTGAAGAAGGCCAAGATCCGCCAAATTCTCCACCCCAAGGCTGTCAAGCTTCTCTAACAAAACCCTCACAGCTAGGTCATCCAGAGAGGGCAGCGTTGTCCTCAATTTTCTTTTGATTTCCTCCATACCAGATACTGCCAAACATATAAGGACAGTTTAGTTTTGGTTTGAAATAACAATGACATTGACAATGACAACAAGAGTCATCTGATGATGACATATCCCCCTGACGTGGCATGTCAGTAAACTGAGCATACTTTGGTACCCCTAAAATTTCCAAACTGAATTAAGTTACCATGGAGGTTTGATCCGGACAAGGACACTATTCTCAAATTTCCTGAGTTCATCATGTTTCCATGGAAACAACTAAAGTACAAACTTTAAAAATATCTGAAAAGCAAAAGGCACTAGAACCATGAGTACTCAACCTGATTAATGAGTGTACCAAGTTTTGTGAAGCTATGGTTTAGGATATATGCTCCGGACATAATTATTACAGACGGATAGACGGACATACCGACGACTAATAAATAGTCACTTGCTGTCATATAACATGTGTCACTAAAGTTTAAGTTAAGAGTTGACACATTTAGTTATCAAAATGTACGGTGTAATGAATTAGGGTTTTTACTGTATTTACATATGCATTACAATACAAAGTAGTGATGTGCTGATGATCGATTATAATCAAAAACTGATCCGTTTCCCTAATCCGATGCAATGATCGAGTATGACTGTCCATAATCAATAATAGGAATGTAATAGGAATAATAGGAACGTATATATTTTTAAGAACATCTAGCCTGTATGATGATATATGTTTGACTGAGAAAATATCAAACATACTAGTCTTAGTATTAACAGGCAACACCCTTGTTAAGAAAAAGTTATTTAAAGTTAAACAGGCGATCATAATTGAGTGTTTGTCATGAAAATTTTGGAAATCTCCTTTAGTTGTTTTCTGACCAAAATATGTAAGTATTGTGGTGGTTTAGTACCAATCATTATCAGTTTATGCACCTGTTTTGGAATCTGAAGGCAGCATCAAGTATAAAACCCGGCAACGGTGAATGATACACAATGCACTTGATATCAGGAAAGCTGTTACACAACAGATGATAGGCAGCTGTGAATAAATGTTTTGCTGGAAAAATTATCAAAAGATAGCGACCAGAAATAACTTTCGCTAGAACATTTGTTGGTAGTACTTGTATCCTTGACAGAATATGTCTAACAAATTTGTCAAATTCTACATATGAAAAAAACACAAAAGCTCCAGCAAGCTCCATGCTGTTTAGTTTTTCAGTCCATTCTTCCCAAACAACCTGCAAGTTAAATATATGAAATTAAAGTGTTTTTTTAAAATAGTTGTAACATTTAATGTGATGAAATGAGTGTTGCAGTGCTTTAACATTTTTAATTTTTAGTATGGTGAAATTATTGCTTCTTTGGTATATTGTCGTTACAAACAAAGGCATGGCAATGTTCATTTCATTGAGTTAAACATTACTGTCCACATTGTCATTATCTTTGACAATCCAGTGAAGTGAAGGATGTTCAATCCCTGAATGGTCAAGAGAAGGTGAAATGAATGTAGGTTACAGCACTGTTACCTTTGTTGCTGGGTTCCATAATCCATGTACTCAGATACAGCAGACTGCTCTCTGAAGAGAGATGTATTTCACACCGTCCACTATGTATACAGGCAGTGGGTTGATGTCCAATATTTCTCTAGGTGTATAGCAGTAAACCTGGGAGTTAGGATGTTCAGAGTGGATTTTGAAAGCATACAGGCCATAATCACTCAACCAAAGTGTCTGAAATCTGTTGAGCACAAAATACAATGTTTTTTCTTTAGACAGCATAAACATTACTTCACCAAGTACTAAACCATCTGAGTTCTTATCAAGAATGAATACAGTGCCTGGTTTATACCAGTGACCTCTAAACTTTACTTTCATAGTCATTTGAGTGTCTATCCTGCTGAAATTTAATCCCTTAACACATGACTGAATGTCAGGGCTAAAAAGATTAACTTCAAATGGAACAGTGTCGCTGAACGTAATTTCTGGTGGGAACAAGGACCCACAGGAGTATAAAGCTTGCAACAGCTGGTGTCTACATGCAAGAGTCTTACAAATATGCTTGTAATTGTGCAACTTCTTTGCACACTGTTTGAAATAAGTATGTTTACTTTCAAACCGCAAAGTCCAAAGGTGAATTAGCGGTCCAAACTCTAGTATTAACTCTGAATAGTGGGCAAGATAATGGTGTTTTGGTCGAAGTGGAACATCTGGAAAACATGTTTTTCTACCATACAGATATTCCTCAATCTTCACATTCAAATACGCCACTTGGGCGAAACTGATTTGTGGTGAACAAGCATACTCAACTATTTCTTTCAGACAAAGATAAAGTTGCCACACTTTATCATGTACATCAACATATTTACCAATGATCAGTGGCAATAACCTGAGAAAAACCCAGTTCTGAACCGCATGACCACCTATTTTATCACTTTTAGTGAAAATTGGTGGTGGCTTGTCTGAAGCATCTGATCCAATAAAAAGAAATCTTTCCATTAATCTCCCTAGCTTTAAGTAAGTAAACCAGCTCAAGGAAACGAAGTAGTGCAACATCAGAGGAAGATCATAACACACAACTCCTTCAAACAAGTCATGACCGAGGCAAGGTGGCAAGCCTGGGCTTGCAACATGAAAGAAGGCTAAAGAATTGAAAATACTATTGGACTTGATACCACAAACTGAATCTCTTCCCCCATCCTGATTCAACGCAGCAAGAGAATCATTGTAACTTTGGACAGTACGAAAAGTACCTCTTTCAAGGATATCTGAAGCTCTGAACTGACCCTGATCAATATCACAGTACCTGCAGAAGTGTGTAGCTGTGAAACTTTCAAGGAAGCCACCTATCATATGTGAACCAAGGTTATCACCTACTATAGCCACAAGGGCTCCCTTTATGTTTTCCTCACCCACAGTAATGCCATGTGATTCAATATTCTTTAGATCATTTACAAGTTCCTCAAAGATTTTATCTTTCCCAACATGTTTCAAGTCACGTTCTTTGCAAAGAAGAACCAATTGCATATGGTCAACATTTGATCTCAGACTGGCATCAAAATTAGCAAGGTTGAAATAAACCCCTAACAACTTATGCTTTTTCTTGGCAGAACCAAGGGGATTCACCACCTCAAAGGCATCTTGAAATAATATTATTTCAAACACTTTGTCACAGCTAGCAAAGAGTTGATTTCTTCTGAACACATTTCCATCTTGTACATCATACAGGATATTTCTGTTAGAACCATTACTATCTGTATTTCTATGAAATGTAAAGTGGGGCTTGTAATGATGAAAAAGTGTAGCAATGGATTCACTAACAGGTACAAACTGGTATGACAGTGTTTTACCGTTGTCATCAACAGTAAGGAATACTTCTTTTGCTTCATTGAGGGCAAAATTGTTTCTGTAGAAGGAATTTCTACGATGTGCAGTCCTTAAAGGCCCATTGTTGCAGGAAGAAAATGGATCAGTCTCAGACATTTCATGCATAACACTGTTTATCACATCTATGTCTATGTTCTTTTCCCTCATCTTTCTGCCCAAACACTTTGTCATGATGTTAATACTGATTTCATGCATAGATTCAAATTCAGTTATAATATTTTGTATTAGAGAAACTGGCAATAAATATTTGCTTTGAAGTTTTAAGTAGAATGTGGCCAGGCACTTCAGAAATTCTGAGTTTGTTTCTTCTGAAACATCAAAATCATCTTGGCCGACAGTTTCCTGAGACAATTCAGTATTCATAGGGACAGGTGAATGCAAATCATTTAAGCTTTCAGAATCTGTTCCTAGATCTATTCCCTCCGATTGACTCGCGTTTGTATGCAATTCATCAGGACAGCATTTTAAACCTGACCAGTTCTCTTTCAAACTTGCATGTTTACGTGACAAATGAGAAGAGAAAGAGGTTTTCTTGACAAATCTAGATTTGCAACTTTGAACTGGACATTCTATTTCCTCATGACGCTCGATGTGCAGTTTTAGATGAGCAATAAGCAAGGGGGTCCTCTCGAAGAACTTAGAGCAATCTTTTTTGCCACACTGTAATGATACACTACCCTGACCATTTTGACTGCATCTAGTCTGTGCCTCTCCATTAGATTTATCATTAATTTGACCGCCACTGAATGTGCTACGATCTTCAGTTAAGTTAGTAACTGTCCTAGCCACATGTTTCCTTTGTGCATGTGATTTGAAAGCAGAGTAGGTTGCGAATTTTTCGCTGCATGTTTCAATGCAACATGGATATACAATATTTGGCAAATTTCTGTGAAATTTATAATGTGAAACGTACTTTGCTAATTTCGACGCACTAAACGAACAATGATTACACTCATACATTTTTATTTGAAAGTGTTTGCACGCCCCATGCTGGTTCACATTACGATACCCCGTGGGTGGGAAATAAGCGGGCCTAACGTAACAATAAGAGAGCGAGGGGTGTATATGAAAGACAACGATGCAGACAAGCGCTAGAAAGATACAGCGCATGTTTTGTGACCGTTTGACATCATTTGTACACAGATTATACCTTGATACACTTACAAAGCCACAATGAATGCTCCAAGAACTTCCTAGAAGACAACTAAACAATGGCGGCTTCGACGTTGAAGACCCGGATACATTCCCATCATGCAGCACTTGACGGTATTGTACCGTTAGAATGACCAGGTAACATTCTACGAACCGTTAAACCAGTAACGGTGCACCTCTGTATCTATTTCACATGATTTCTACCGTGAAATCTACGGTAATTTTTTACAGTGCAGGTGTTTGCGGAACCAGGTTGTCCTGCTCTACCATTAGGGCCTGTCGCTATTTAAGCAATATTCCAGCTATATTGCGGCGCCCTGAAATAAATCGAGTCTGACCAAGACAAACCAGTGATTGATATTATGAGCAACGATCCCCACCGTCGGCGCACAATAAAGACAACCATCCATTAAATCCCCTCGTCCCCAGGGAGCCTTCAACTGTTTGGTGGAAATTGAGTTGGTGAGAGATGAAATATACAGTAAACTACGGTTATAACGAATTCAAAGGGACCACTAATTTTAGTTCGTTGTAGCCGTAGTTCGTTATATGCATATATACAGCTTAACTACAGCAAATAGTCGGGACAAAAAAAGTAAGTTCGTTATTTCCGTCAGTTCGTTATAAGCGTGTTCGTCATAAACGTAGTTTACTGTAACAACAAAACAACATTCACTCGGACACTCACGTTACAGCTTGATCCAAAATTAGACCACCACTGTCAACCCAGCACAATCCATTAGTTCTGTCAACAGTGCCTGATGCAGGGAATGCTGACAACTTTAGGAAATGTGAATGCCGTCAAACTAAGACCATGTCCGCCAAATTGAAACTGACGAAAATAAACGAAATCCTGAATCAAAGACGTCAAACGTTAACAACAGCAACAAATTCCTTTCATCCGTCGTGCATCGATTTGATTAATTGTTATTTCAGCATCGTGCAAGATGTGAAGATTTTCCTAGTTGGATTCATGAAGTGGTTCAACCAGCATTTCTCGAAATCTTCCGCTGTACATATTTCATCTAGGATTACGTAACATTTGGTATTGTCTCTGTGTTACGGCTGTCGATAACCATCGCCGCTGCGTGACATTTATATATGAAATACGATTAGTTTTACCGCAAATAGCACGATTTCGATTTTCCCTTACACACGCGATAACACTGAAAAACACTAACTGAGCCAAGTTTAACGCCACTCTGAAGGGTGTTTCAGTAAAATTACAGCTTAATGTAGGAGGAAATATTGGTGTAACGACAGCAACTCTGAGATCGTTATATTTATTTTTTTCATTTCAATCGTCGAACTTAATCTTTGTTATCTTTAACAGTTGGAGGATATTTTCCTTAAAAACCTTTATGTATCGACAACGTGTAATGAAAATATCGATGTCACAGAAGAAGATGTGAAAGAAAAACTTTTAAACCAATCTGGGCTCTTTCTGTCAATTGGCTAGGGTGTGATGTATTTTCTGTGAATTGGCAGGGGTGTGACGTGGAGATATATCACGGCGTGTCAGCTTTATGTAGGAGGAAAGCCCAAAGAGGAAAGCCTATTTTCGACGTTTATCACTTTGGTGAAACCCACGAATCCCAGTATGGAGCTCACTCACTCACTCACTCACTCACTTACTCACTCACTCACTCACTCACTCAACCACTCACCCAATCTCCTTTGTTGGTGGCTGCAGAGTGACGTCCCTCACACGCGCTAGCAGCCTTCGATCCTAGATGCTCCAAGACTCTCTCTGGTTATAATTCTTTGTTTGAGGGAACCATAAACCACAACGGTAATTGTCGAAGTCCTGCATCACTTAGGGCCTTCCTATTATAATTTAGCTAAAATAAATGGGATTCTGTTCAAAG